TCACAACTATTATAGTATTACAATTACTATATAACACTTATAAAATTTCTTTTTTTAATTAATTAATTGTATATACCCCATGGGTTTTACGTCTCCAAATACTATCAGAGGTTACGCCTTAAGGCTCTTCAGAATGTCAGATAATCTATTAAAATTTTGGTACCTACTCGGAATTTTGGTATCCTTAAACCTTGTATGCCCAGATATTTTGGTATCCCAGAGGTGAGACTTATTTTTTTCGTATAACTTTTTGACCCTAGTATTTTCTAGAAAAATTGGCTCTAGAATGATTTCCTGTATATCGAGAAATCAATTGTATACTAGAATAGGTTCAATAACCCTTTTGTTTTACTTCCTATCATTCAACATTTTGGTATCCTAACTGTAAATTTTGGTACCTCATACAAAATTTTGGTACCCTCCCTTTGGACGTGATACCAAAATTTAACCCTTTGTTTACGATTAAGAATCAGTTTTAGAATTAATTCTAGGGATATCTCATAAATTAGTATGCATCTTAAGCTTGACAAGGTCGTAGCCTCATATATTTCATCACTTCATTCTTGCCAATCTCACGTTGTCTCTAACCCAAACAGAATGGTATAATTTTTTTGATATTGAAATTGTGTACTGGCGCAGTTTTTAAACCTGAATTCTATATTATGTATTCGTATAGCTAGAAGGGCTTCGGACCTATGATTGGGATCTTTTTTGGATACCTTTTTTTTTTGACCCCAGAACTCCCAAATTTACCCTACTAGTATCTCAACACTTACCAGAAGATTTACTTGAAAAACAGCAATGTTTTTTAAGTTTTATTCTATAGAGAAGAATATAGCATGATTATCCACTAAAATTTATTGGAAATATAGATGAAACACCTGTAGCTTTTGATTTACCTAATTTATATACCTTAGAAAAATGCAGTTCTAGTTTTATTAATATTAAAACTACAGGTCATGAAAGAAGCACCTTTACAGTTGTTTTAGGTTGTATAGCTGATAGATTAAAATTACCACCTGTTATTATTTTCAAATTAAAAAACATATCTCGAGAAACTTTTTCAGATAACATATTTGTTAGAACAAATGAAAAAGGATGGGTTAATGAGGATGAAATGAACTGGTGGGTAGAAAATATCTGGTCTAAAAGAATCACTAATTTATCATCAAATTCTAGATCAATTCTTGTTTTTGATTCTTTTTGTGGGTATTTAGTTGATTCTGTTAAACAAAAACTTAAAGAAAAAGAAACCAATATAGCTGTAATTCCTGGTGGATCGACATCTAAGCTGCAACCACTTTGTAGCAATTAATAAAAGTTTTAAATCTCATGTAAGTTTTATTTATGCTTATAATATATTATAGATATTATTATCAAATTATTAAATAATAATTATTTAAATTATCATATAATTTTTTATTTACAGATTTGCGAATTTTATTATAAATGGACGACAAATGAAGTTTATGAATTAACTCCAGCTAAACGAATCAAAACACCTTCTTATTCTTTAGTATGTTCATGGGTAAAGGATGCATAGGAAAAAGTTAATCCAAATTTAATTTGTAAATTATTAAAGTGTTGTGGAATTTCGGTTAAAACAGATGGTACAGAAGATGATGAGATTTTCGATTATGATAATCTTATAGAAGATAAAGAAAATTTTAATGAAAATGATGGAAATAATGAATTACTTGGAGAAGGGGAGGATGGTGAAGATAATTATAATAATTGGGATGAATTTTAATAGTTGTAATTTGCAAATTAATGGTTTTTGCAAAATTTTTTTTTTTCCCTTATGATCCCGGTACTTTTTGTATTGGTTTATCACTTGTCTAAGTTTTATAACGATGTTGTTAATAATTCCTTTATTATATATATATAATTTGATAGTTTAAAAAAAAAAAAAAAAAAAAGATTTTAAGTTTTTGCCGTCTTTTGGAATTTTAATAAAAAAAAAAAAAATTTACTTAGCTTATAATATTCTTTTACAATTCTAATAATAAAAATTCGTTTATAAATTAATAAATAAAATCAATAAAATCGCCTACTACTCAGTTCAAAAAAAAAACACCATGTAAAATATCCGGGTTTCTTACAAAATTTTGGCCCAAAACCCTAGGGGGGTAGTTTACACGGGGGGGTAGTTTAGTCAGTGCTCTACGGTAATTAAAATAAAATGTAGATTTTGTTAATTTTAATACAAAATGTTTTTACTATTTAAAACATGGTTGTTCAGTCTCAAGTCAGGTCGGTCAAAATCGGTCAGAATCGGTCGGTCAACCGGTCGGTCAGAAGCCTTTGACCGACCGATATCGGTCACGGTTATGACCGGTCATGACCGTGACCATTAGCATCCCTAGTCCAATCCGATGTAAAAAAGAAGAAATTGTTAAATTTTTTTCGATAAGAGAAAAGCAAGCAAACAGATTTACCTTTTTGACTTTCTATTCGATATGATAACATGCTTCGACTTACGAATCAAACCTATCCTAGCAAGTTAATGAACTTATATAATCCCAATAAACCTTATAGAAACCAATTAAACTAAGAAATTAATGAAGTTTATAATAATTCTAGAGTTGGTAATAAAGACCTTCAGTTCTTTAGATTCAACTAGTCATGCTAGGGTACGTGTATTGAAGTATTGAAGTATCGTTATTATATTCTTTGTGACGCTTTATCGAGAAGGTGGAATTTCCTGGATCATTGTCATGGTATATTTCTTTTTTCAGCATGCTAATGTAATGGTCGAAAGAATGATTCATTCCATTTTTAATTTGTTGTAGGTTTAAAGCTAAAGATTATTTTTACAGGCAAAGCGAGAATATTAATTGACCGAATTTTCCATGATGCGATTATGTATTCCTAATTATCTGAATGAAGAATTCGGTTCTTGGTTGTGAGGTAAGCTCCTGTTGATACAAATTTTCAAAATGCGATCGTATATCAATGAAATCGTATCGCTTCATGTTAAAATTGAAAACATTGCATTGAATCAATAATTTTCATAAATCAAAAATTTTATAAATTAGAAATGTTCCAAATAATCGATAATCGTTTTGCGAAAAAAAAAAAAAAAAAATTATACAAGGTAGTCGATCAGACGATCGATTACGCAATGTTCTGGAAATTAGTTAAAAAAGAAAAAAAAATTATCTTCCCATTTCTAGCAGATCCCTTTGCAAAAATGACGAACTTTAATAAAGATATACTTTGTCTTATCTCTGAAGAATTGAAAGATAACAATAAACTCTTATTCTCCTGTCTGTTAGTTAATAGGCTTTGGTTTGAAACCTTTGTACCAATCCTTTGGAAAAACCCTTGGAAATTTCTGGAAAATAAACAGAGGATTTATAAATTCAATCAAGTGTTGCTTTTATTCAGAACCATCTTGTCACATTTACCTAGGGAATCAAGAGAACTTTTAGCAAGCCAGGATATTAAACAGTTAATAACACTACAACAAAGACCTTTGGTTAGCTATATCAGATATTGTAATCACCTTGACCTTGAATATACCTTCGCATTCATTTATTTGCTAATCGATTCTGATCATGAAAATGATTATCAACGATATGTCCTTGAGCAAGAAATTTTCAAACTTTTCATGAGTGAATGTTCAAGCATAAAGTCCTTGACATTAAAGACATTTAATTACGATGTTATATATAAACATCAATTGCATAACTTTCTCGGAGCAAACAATTGTCTTCCGGAACTCGTTCATTTAACATGTATCACGAAGATCGATCCGTCATTCTTTTATGGATTATCCTTGATCTGTAAAAGGTTAGAAAAAATTAGTTTAATATCATTTTTAAAAGAGAATTTTGGTTTGAATCGATTCATTAGCGTTCAACAAAAATTGAAAATTTTCGAGTTTGAAATTGATAAATTTCATGAAATATTCAATCAAGATAAAACATCTCTTATAGGATTGGGAACTGCACTGTTGGAACATTCGGAACACCTTCTACAATTCTCTGCTCATTTGGATCGAGAAATTAATTTCCCTCCACCTGAATTTTATCGAAGATTTAAAAATATGAGAGTAGTGTCCTTATTGAATCTTAATCATAGGACATATTTTGAAGGATTATTTTCTCTTTTAGATTGTCCTAAATTGGAAATACTTCATTTGGGATATACTTCACAAGCTACTTTATCAAAAATCATCTCTAGAACCGAAGGATCACTTAATTTGATTCGAGTAAGAAAATATTTTTACGACAAGATTCATTCCAAAGGGGTGTTTCAAATCATTTATCAACGCTGTCCAAAACTTTCTAGTGTTAACCTTGTAATGGATCAAAAAGATTTAAAAGACTTGCAACAATTATTGATAAATTGTCGAAGTTTAACTGAACTTATACTAGTATCTACCCGTTATCATGGAGGTTTCAATTGTGGTATTTTGAACTTGATAGTTACGTTTGCGTCATTAAGCCTTGATACTGTTAATTTAATGCTTAATTGGGAGATTACGATGGAAGATTTGATAAAATTTTTGGAAAATTGGGAAGGTCGAAATAGAAATCCATTGACATTTAAAACTTATCACGTTCAAAGTATGACAAATGAGCATCTTGGCGTTCTTCATAGGTATATGGAAAAAGGAATTATCAAGATGTATAGGAATACGCGTTCAAATTAATGGATTTTTTTTTTTAATAAAACATTGATAAAGGATTTCCTGATTGACGAAATATTTATTTAAAATATCGTTGTTTTCTTGAGATTTTGAATAAATTACTGTTTCTGAAATTCCATTTTAAATTTTTATTAATTGATATCGTTTAAATTTAAAATATTTACACGTATAGTATATACATATGACATGACGCTTAGTTTTTAAATTTAGATGACATATAATTACGTCATGAATTTATGGCCAGCAGACTTTCAAAATAAAATCGTCTTTGTTTTTTTGCATTTGAAATCCTTTTTCGTTTAAAGCCACCTTATAAGTTTTTTACATTATTTTCTCATGAATCATGAACTTTCCTTATATTCCCATCTATGAACTAAATGAAGATAATATTCGACATTATGCTTCTATTTTTTTCAATTCCGGTAGTATGAATGATGTTTTAATTTAACATTTTATTTCTTTAACGTCTCCTTTTAATCTTTTTTAATAATATCAAGCGTCAGGATATTCTCAATATGCTCAATATGTTAACGAGGAAGTTCAACAAGGTCCAAAGATTGAAGAAATTACAATGGAAGCCATCCTTGGAATAAAGTATCAGAGGGTATAAAAAAAATTCTATGAGCCGAATCTATTACGATTTAATTTAACTAAACGTTTTCACGTAAAATGTCTTAGGGTAAAGTTCATTATCTCGTAAAATGGGAAACGATTGATGATGCCGAATGGATCGAGGCAGACAAATGGTGAAAAATATTAATAAGAAAAAATAAATTGATTACAGTCATTTCAGATCTGAACCAATTTATTGATAAATTTATCCTGATATAATCATTAGTGACAAGCAATTAATTAAAGAATACCTTGACAAATGTGATGAATCAGTTACGAAAACCAAACCCAATTTTGATAACAATGAAAATGACTCTAAAGCCGCACGGATTAAAGGTGATTGGGAAGAACAGGTTGAAAAGGTGGAAAATATGTTTAAACATGCAGTTACCGGAGAATGGTATAGCTCATTGAAATGGTAATTAAAGAATTAAATTAATTAACGGATTTATTCTCATTATGGTATTGTGAAAAGCGAAAGAAATTTTTTTTAAAATTATTTTAGGAAAAATGGATCTCGTTCTGCACATCCCAATAAAGTGGTTAATATCAAATGTCCCCAAAAGGTATCAACTATGATCTTATAATTTTGACATTCTATTACCGTAAGTAAATAAATGTTATTTTATTTATAGGTAATCTATTATTACGAAAGCCGAATTGTGTTTGGAAAGGAGTAGAAGTCGAAGGAGTAAAAACATATAGAATACCAAAAAAATTGTATTCAAAGAGATTTTTGCGTTAATGCGATAAATTCTGATAACAATGTAAAAAGGAAAATAAAAATATGTATTACAATTATTTTAACTGAATAAAGTCATTAATTGCAAATCCTCATTCTTCGATTATTATGAAGTATTAAAGGATATCTTATAAAAAACCATAACAAGAATTCAATAGGTTTAACCTTTCTCTACCTTCGTTTATATATTCACCTTTTCCTACATAAAACGCATTCTAAAATCATTACTCGTTATTCTAAACAATTTTCAAGCAAACCAAACAATTTTTCTCAAAAAAAATAAAAAAAAAAAAATTGAAATTGATATGTCTGAAGTAGGCGAAATTAACTCCTTAGCTTGGGACAAAGTAAATTATATTACGTGCTTTTCATTTATAGTTCGAGATAAAAAAAAAATAATTATTGTTTCATTTAGTTGATAGAAGAAGTTAATTGGTTACGAGAAGCCTATACTCATAAGTGTTCCGAAGTTGGATATCTTAGTGGAGAAGCAGATCGTATGAAATGGTTATATGACCAAAGCTGTGAACAAATTGCATCGTTAAAAGTTCAAAATGAGCATTTAAAGAAAGAACTAGAAGAGGTAAACACCATGTAATAAAGTAACGATATGAAATTTTTGACCTATTTCGATTTCAACAAATTTTTTTAATTTATTTAGAGCGAATACCTTCGTAACAAGTTGATTGAACATATTAATGTTGATCCAAGGGCTACCAAAAAGGTTAGTTTTTGGTTTCCTTTTCTTGCAAACCATGTGAAGTGGATATTTAACGAATTACCGATTACGATGTAAAATCAAAAGGTTTCAAGAAGAGAATAAGCTTTAAAACATTTTTGAGTGATTAAATAGCTAATACGATTAGTATAATAGATTTTCAGAACGTGCAAATTAGTATCCACCAATTTAGTTTAGCTTTGTGGTTCTTATTTTATTTACGTATTTTTGTATCAAGCTGTCTTATTTAATAAAACTTTGTTTTAATTATAGCGACATAACAACATCGGCAGAGGTGGAAGACACCAAAATTTTCGAAAACTATCTCTGAACCTCAAGAAAAACAGTAACAATGGAAATGAAGATAGCAATGAAAGCATCAAGTACGATAAAGATATGAAAAATTCACAATGGGATATCACTGATGAAAAATTTTGGTATTTTTTTTTTTTATCATTGATATTTTTTGTAACTAAATTCGCTTTTCAACTAGCATTTAATTACTTTCCTTGTTTTAGCGAGGAAGAAGAAATAGTCGAGGATATTTAAAATAAATGTGATGGTTGTTTACTGCGGAACAAATCAAATTATTTGGCGCAGTAAAAATAGTAAGCTGTGAATTGCATTAGTTAAGATAATATAATAAAAATAATAAAAATAATAAATTTACTCTATATATAAATTTTATCTTAAAGTAATGAAAAGAATCTAAATTTTAGATCATAAATGCTCTAAATTAAATGTAATATAAATACTATTGTTAAAGATAAAAAAATAAAAATAAATGAAGACAAATATGTATATAAAATCTCTTACCAAACTCCGTTTATCATTAAGTTATCATCATCTTCTTCAAACTCTTCGTTTATCATTAAGTTATCATCATCTTCACCTTCTTGATAATTGATAATTCTAGAACTTAATTCCTGACTTAAAACTTCATTTAATCTCGCAGAATATTCAAATTGTCTGCTTGTATAACATGAATGATTTTGAATATGATGTTCATGTTCTACGAAAAGAACATAAAATCTTAGCATTGATTTTTTTAAAAAAAAGATTACATAAAGTATAATTTTATTACCTGGTACAGGTACCCTTTGATTACTATATGGATATGTTTTAATCAATAATTTGAATTTTTGTACCAAATCATCAGCACTGGGTCGTTTGTTTGGATCAAACTCCCAACAACTTTTCATTACCTCTACATAGTCAGGATTGGTATTTTCAATTATTTTTGGTCTTCGACCTTGACAGATCTCTAAAGTTAGGTGAAAATCATGAGCAATATCATTGAAAGCGGGAACCCTGATGTGAATTCCCACATGATTATACCAAAAGAATATATGTCGGAAGCTTTGGTATATGGCTTGTCAAGCAAAATCTCTGGTGCCATGTAAGGAAGTACTCCATAGATATTCTTAGGATCATTCGGGTGATCAGGTGATTTGCTCAATCCCAAATCACTTACAAAAATACGATTCTGATCTTGCAAAAGTAGGTTGCCACTATGAAAATCCCCATGAAATAAATTACATCCATGCAAAGCGGAAAGTGACGTTGCAATGTGAAGTAGATTCCCATATTTATCGTTCGGATTATATTTTTTTATCATGAGGTTAGATCTTAAATTACCAACTTTCATTTCTTTTAATACGATCATGTAATTCAACGTTTTAGGATCTTGAGTTATTCCATAAATAATCATGAAAGATGAATTATGATTTTTAACCGAATACATGAATTGTAAATAATTTTTCCACTAAAATTTATCAAAAAGGTAAATACCATTTACCAAAGTTAATTATAAAACGTAAATTAAAAAAAAAAAACTTACTTCGTTCAAAAAATCTTGATGAATATTTGAAGAATTGTTTAAACTCTTGAGAGCCACATAAATTCCGAAATTTTCATCATCCTTAATGGGTGAAGTGACGCCCTCTTTTTCCGCGTCACTATGAGATTCATTTTTAAGATTTTCAAGGTACCTTAACCATTCTTGTTTCTCTTTCTTATACTTCCAAATCGATCCATCCAACCAAATAGCTTTATAAATGATGCTGAAACCACCCCTAGCAAGATATTTTATATTTCTTAAACGATCATAAGGGATCCATTCTAATAATTCATATTCATTTCTTGCTTTCAATTGAGTTTCCTGGATAAATTTATCAATATGTTCATTTCCGCTCGTCCAGTTACTGAAATCTTGTTGAAATATTTTCGAATTGCAATTACGACACCACCATCTATAAGTTTTTGGTTGATCGCAATCGGGACATAAGTCGTACTCTTGCTCATCTATACATTGTTCGTAGTACCTAGTTTGTTCAAATTGGTTGGAATTCATGTTTTTAAATACTTGGATTGAAATTTAAAGATTGTGCGGAATTTGCCGATTTTCAACTTATTAATTTATCCAAAAACATGTGATCTGCACGCTGCGTTGCATGTACTTTTTAAGCAAATGTTTTACGGAGATTGGTTTCTCTATATTGTTTCTATTTATTTTCCTTCTTTTTCAAACAAATTGAACAATAATAACCTTGATTATTAATTTAAAAAATAAAGAAAAAAAAATTTTTTTTCATGTTTGATCAATTGATTGATACGCACAACCAAACTCTAACAAACTTTCTCAAACTATCTATCCATTTTAAGATATATAAAATTTAACGCATTTTATTTTCATGTGAATTTTAGCGCCAATCCTGTAAATGTAGATTTGTGTTTGGGTAAATTTCTAGTAAAATACTCACAGGCTAATCCGTAACCGGTCATCAAGTAAAAAGTGCGAGTTAAATCTGGAAATATAAAAACCCACTCGAAATGTTCTCGAGTTTCGATATCTTTCTTCTTAACTAAACATTCTGGTTACGCAAATTAAAATTCATCACCAAAACAATTTTTTTTTTCTTAATTAATTACAAAGATTTCTTCTCTGAAAGTTTCGGTTCTATTTTAGATTTAAAGTTCAAAGGCGATTGATTTTTTATTATTTATATATCTGAACATTATTTATAAATTAATTAACGTTAACTAATTATTTGCTTTATTCATAATTTTAAATATTTTAATAGTTGATCCCAATTCATTGACATCATAAACGAAAATGCTTAGTATTTCTTTTTTTTTGAATCATGATTTCTTTTCCTCAATAATCTACACAAGTTTCGATCATTTAATCAAATTATCTTTGCGATTGTTGTGATTTTTTATTGATAACTTCTTTTATTGTTGTAAATAACTTAAATTTAGAGAATCATGAATTGTAAACGCGTTGCAATTTGCTTGTTTCGGGTATACTTTTTCAAGTTCATTTCACGTGATCTATTAATAATATTGAGTAAGTTAAAGACTACACATATAATAAAATAAAATCCCCAATTACAAAAAAAATTTTGATATAATTTTTTATTGTTCCGATGCATAAAATCCTATATTTCATATTGAAGTTATAAATGATGTGGGCTGGGAAAACCTACATTATATAGAACAGATGAAAAAATAAATCAATACTAATTTCTGACAATCGTGTGCTAAATGTATCACGTTTAAAAATTACCCTTTGTCGGAATGAATTTCTCGTTTTCCTCAAAAATATTCTATTTGAACAGTATTTTTCCAACTAAAACTTGGATAATCATATAAGTCGATCGTATGGTCTATAATGAATTGCCAAAAGTGATTATAAGAAATTTCGTATATGAAAAACTAACTTTATCCCGAAATCCATGAAGATACCAAACTGGATTATGTCATAACAATTTTTATATTCATTAATTTTTTTGTGATGAGAGGACTAAAAAAAAAAAATAATGGCACTCACTTGTTTTAATAATCAAGGTCACAAATCTGGTTCCTGATTCGTCTCATAAACTATCTTGACATTCGTATTCGATATATGTTTGTCTGGACTAAATATACCATTCATAATATAATTGTGATAAGCGTTACCTTTTCTAAACATATTAAATTTTCAGACCTTAATAACCTAAGTTTCCGTCCAAAATTTGATTGCTAGAATGTTCTGCAAATAGCAATCTTAGGGCGATAAATGAGAACTTTCGTTTGTTTGATTCACTTTCAGTTTACCGATTCCTTTTGATATGCCAGATACGTTAGTAACTGATCATTTGCTGGATCCTCATTTTGAAGCAAAGTACAAATTATTATGACATTATCATCGTCCTCATCTTTGTAAAAATGGGTCATTTAATGAACTCTATTTAGGGAAGGCGTATTGTAATCACTTGCTCTAACTTCTTTTGAAATTCTTTCTTTACTATAATCAATATTTCGTCTTCTCTTAAAATATAAGGTTTTTTTTTTATCCATAGCTGACTCGTTTTAGGTGATATCATAAAGGATTGGAATTGAATTAACATCTACGGGTTGTGCGACAGCAGAATACCACATTGTAGATTCCAGACACCCTAAGAAGATTAAACCTTTACATTTGTTATCATCCTCCACTTCTTGCTTGACCGTCTTATAAGTAATGTGTTCGTTATTTCTCTTTTGCTAAAAATTCGCAATGTCTAACTTCATCTAAAAAATTATTATAATTCAAAATTTGAAAGTAATAAATGATGCTTCAATATTTACCTTGCTCGCATAATTTTTTCATTTTGACCGTGTCGTTTGAGTGAGAAAGTCGTGTGTAGTGAAAAAAGTGATATTTATTTTGGTACGGATGGTCGATAGATTTTTATTTTCTTTTCCAAAAATGATTTCCAAAGACAATTCTAATTCTCAATGTAAATAAAAATAGTTGTAGTAAAGCATATTCTGATATAACTTATCACATGATCCAAATGCCTGCCGATCATTCGTTGATTTAATTTTGATATGATCACATGTATTTGCCCATTTTACGTGTTTCTAAATATTTTACTTTTTTTTTTCCTTTTTTTTCACGCGACAACTCATATTACAAGATATAAAAAAATGTGTTTTAGAAAAGAACCTTATTAACTTTTAATATTCTTTATTTTTATTAAACGCGTAACCATCATAGGTAATGAGGAGTGGAGCAGAACGTAGAAGAGGACTCTTGAACGCAGACGGCAGCAGGACAGGAGTGGGCAAGAAGGTATATTTATTTGATTTTTCGTAATGTGATTTTATTATTATTTTTATTATTATTTTTTTTTTATATATATATATTTTTTCATCCGGAGGAGCGAGCGGCTAGAGTCTTTGTGAAGTACTAGTCTTGATTGCAGTCACAAGTATGTGGGCTTCAAGAGGATTTTATTCGGAAGTGTTTGTTGGTAAACTATTCATGGTGTGGTTTTTTTGGTAAGGGGGCTGCTTTTTCTGGAGGAGGAATTAGCTTTGTACCTTCCCTTGCGTAACAATCCAACCGACTCCGTGAGCAGGGATCCGATTCTCACTTTTTGAGTACCTCTTGGAGTTACTATCATCGCAATACTCTAGCTGCAGTTGCACGTAAGTTATTTTTTATTTTTCTACTCTTTGGTCTTGTCATATGAGTTGTATAATTGTCCTTGTATAATCATTTATTTTTTAATAAATATTAAAGTTATGATTGATTTTAAAAATGTTTATAATATCCTATAATTTTTGCATAATTTGTTTTTTGTGTGTTGTTTCACTATAAGCTAGAGATCTTTTGAATACAGTACGTTCGTTCCAAATAACGTGTAAAGATAAAATCAAATCTCTGCGCCAAATTAAAATATCATTAGTATCGTAACGATGACCTCATCAATATTTCAGCCAAAGTTACGCAATTCAAACATAAGTTAAAGTAATAATTAGCCTACGATTAACTTTAAAAGGAGAAGATCATTTAATAAATATTATTTATATATGAAAAAAGTTTCTTGAAAGGGTATTCAATTTTTTTTTTAACAAGGTCCTCAATGGTATAAGAAAAGCGGCTATAATTTGAAAAATCAAATTTGATTAATGGGGAATAGAACGCTCGGTAAATTTCCATACTGCAGGAAAATACTGTATCTGATATCTTAAGGCTAAGGATTCAAAAAAATTATAAAAACGATGGTTCTAAAAAAACAACGAATTAGAAAGAACAATTAAAGATTTAAAACTAAACTTAAAAAAAGCCATAATGACTTAAAGCAAGCGGAAGCAGCTCGAGATACTTACCTAGTCGAACGGGATAATGCCCTTGCGGCTTTAGATACTGCCATTAATGATTTAAATGGCGAGAGAACAAGCCATAAAGCAACAAAAGATGAACGAGATATTGTCATTGATGAACGAAACAAACTCCAAATGGAATTACAAGATTTAAAGATAACCGTGGCCGATTTAACCAAACAACTTAAAACTAAGCAACTAAGAATAATTTCCTTAGAAAATGATAAGGGTGATTTAATGCAGATTAACCTCTGCTAAAACCCTTGTATATTTTTTAATTGGTAATAATAAAATGAACAATTGAATACAGATACTATAGCATTAGCAAAAGTTAATAATTATTATTCTGTTGATTATTTATTAAATAAATTTTATAGGTGATTATCAATTTTTTTTTGATTTCGCGACCCTCGAATTTCTTCTCGTATATACAGTATTTTGACGTACGAAAATTAGAAACTAAAATGCGCTTTTTCACCTTTTTTTTCTCTCAAATTTTCTTCTGCATCAACCTTGGCTTTTTTCTTTATAAATTTTGCTGCCGCATCTTTCTATTTTCCTATAACTTTTTATATAGAACTTATTTTGAAAAACTGATTAGTAATTTAATAAAGCTTATCTCAAAGAATAAAGTTACCAGTTTATTTTTTCTAAATTTTATTTGAAAGATTTTTAAGTGTTACATTTATATTGTTAAGTATAGACTTTCTGCATCATATATACAGTATATAATTTAAAATTGTAAAAAAAAAAAATATTAAAATAATAAAAATAATAATTTATTTTAAAAAATATTAAGATTTTACAAAAAATTAGTAAAAATTTAAAAAAAATTTACTTTAAAATTTTTTTTAAAAAAAAATTTAAAAAAAAAAAATCTTATTTGATAAAATAAAAAAATTTTAATTTAAAATACTATTAATAATTACTTATTAATCTAAAAAAAGAAAACTATATTATAAAAAAATAAAAAATAAAAAAAAATCATTTTCTATAAAGAAATTATTTTATAAAAATAATTTTTTTAAAAAAAAAAAAGAAAAAATTTTATTATAAAAAAAATAATAATTTTAATTATTTTCTTTTTTTTTAAAAAAAAAAAATATACAATATAACTTATCATTAATTTTAATAGCAAATAAATTATATAATTAGAGAACAATAACTATTTTAATTTAAAGTATAATTCCAGATAATATTTATAATAAAAAGCATAATTTATTAATTTACATTCAATTTTTTATTATGTTTGATTTTTTTAGAACAGGTAAATATGACGCAGCTTATGTGGTACAAAAGATCAACTAATTTGATATAAATAATATATATAATATGTCAAACATATGTGACATAACTGACATATTGAACATAGTTGACATATTAGACATAACTGACATATTAGACATAGTTGATTTAGTAGATATGTTAGTTATATCTTTTTATGTAATTATTTTATATAAATAGATAGCTTTTTAATTCATGTAAAAAGACAGACAGATAGGAACTTGACAAGTTAGTTTTCAGTAGTTTTAAAGGTAACTGGCCTATTGTATTACATTCTAGTTTTAGTATTTCGTTTCTTTTCTTTTCCTATTTTATTTTCTTTATTTCCTTTATTTCTCTTCTTCTTTATTTTATTATTTTACTTGTGAATAAATACATTATTTTACAGATATAAATTACTGGCAATTTGTCGAATCACTGCTTCTCGTAATAGTATAAATACTTTTGATACTCAGTCTGATATAAAACTGCAATCTGTTAAAAGATTACTGCTTAATTAAAAAGAATAAACTGCTTGAACACCCTATCTAACAGTTATAATTCGTAAGAATTACACATTAATAGTATTCAATTTTTATAAAACACATATTATATAACATTAATAATATAGAATTCTATTGGGTAATCAATATGCAAAATAGAATGATATTGCATTTAATATATCTAGTCTAGATTTTCATTTTTCTAAATAAAAAATTGCTATTTAATTATCTTCTATAATATATATAAATTAATATAAGATATAATTTGCTTTTAAAGTGAAAAAATTTATTTTTAAATAAATAAATTTATTTTTTAATAATTTACCTTTAAATATAAAATTTATTTAGATAATTAAAAAAATTATCTTTAAATAATTATGCATTTTAAATAATATAAGTATTTTATAGTAAAAAGTAAGAAAACTTTAAAATTTTTTAAGTTTTATTAAAATTTAAATTTATTTTACTAAAAAATCATATTTAATATAAAATTTATTTTTAACAGTTTTCTTTTAAGTATCTTTATATTATTATAATAATTTATTTTTAAGTAAATAATTTAATTTAATTAATTTTTAAATATGAATTATAAAATTGATTTTTTTTAATAAAATTTTCAAATATATCTTATTATAAAACTATTAATATATAGCAAGTTTATATAATAATTAATGAACTTTGATAATATTTGATAAATTTTATTAAGTATTATGTAAAATTTATTTATTTAAAACTTTTTTTTTATTATTTTATATAATTTTAATTAATATAATTATTAAAAATTACAAATTTATAAATTTATATGTAATAATTATCAAAGTTTTTTAAAGAAAAACATTAAAAAATATTTTTATTAACATATTTTAAACAAATATATATACTTATAAAATTTTTAAAATAATGAAAAATCTTATAAAAATAATCTTTATTTATCTAATCATTAATTAATTAATTGCTTTTATAAAGTATATCAAATTAATTAATAAAAAATACAAATACTAGTATCTTTTAGAAATTAAATAATTTAAATTTTTAAACTATTTTTAAAATTATACATTATTATTTTTTTTATATTTGTAATACAAAATAACTATATAGAAGATTTGCTATTAAAATCACATTATAAATTATATGATTTACTATATTTGTAATTCAATTTTAAAGCAAACTTATATTATTTATGTTAGTGTTAGGAAATTGGACAATTTTGAACAATTTTAAACAATTTTGGACAGGTTATAAACAGGTTATAGACACATTTTTCTATGTCCAAAACCTTAAAATATTTAAAATTAAAAAATGTGTCCAAAACCTAACACTGATTTATATAATATATAAAAATAGATATTACAATTAAAAAATAATACAATTTAGTTGTAATTAAATTTTTTTATAACGCAATTAAATTGTAACTCAATTTAAAATTTAAAATAATTATGTGAATAATCTTAAGTAATATAATTAATTAAAAATATTAATAATTATAATTATATTATATAAAGAAGTTAAAATGTAATATTAGAATATTAAAGTAAAAATTAAAATTATAATATTTAGCTAAATAAAATCTTTCTAATAAGTTAAAAGTTAAATTATATAATTATAAACTGATCAATCAATTATTCAATTAAAATTAATCAGTTAAATAATCAATTAATTAAAGCTTTAATTAACTATTAATTATGACTAATTGTTACTATTTTTAATTTAATATTGCAATTATTTTTAATAATTATTATATTATAAGAAAATATAATTAAAAATAAATTTTATAATAAAATAATTAAGTATATAAATAAAGTTATTATTTTATTATTAATAAATATTAAATAAAACAAAAAAAATTTTTTTATAATAATAAAAATTAAATTTGTTATTAATTTATTATAAATAAATATTAAAATTAATTTAAATTAATTTAATATATAATTTATATTACATAATTTCAATTTGTAATTGATTGCATATGTAACTTATGCTTTTATTATATATTATATTATCTAAGTTTAATGTGCTCTTTATAATAATTTTATATATAATACTGCTTAATAAATCTTTAAAAGATTTATCATTATAATTTTGTTTGTAATTTATTTAATTCTAAATTTTAATATAATAATTATTATTAATAATTTAATTTTTTAGTCATATAAGACTTTTGTAATAAAATTTTTGGATAAATTTAACTTTACTTTTATATGCAAAGTATAATTTTTAGACTAAATATAGATTTAGTATTTATTCATTTTTTATTTTTTCAGCAGATTTTTCCTTTTTATTACAAATTCTATTTGATAAAAAGATTATAAATATTAATTGCAACTAACTTTTAATAATTAACTAAAACTTAAATTTATAAACTTATTATTTACTTCTAAAAATTTATGTTTAAATTCTATATAATAAATTGCTTAATTCATCTAAAAGAGGTTTGCTATTAAATTAAGTTACAAACTTACAAACTTAGTAAATCATGTGATTTTAATAGCAAACCTTTCTTATTATTTTTTTTTATTATCTTATATTCATTATTTGATTATTCTTAGATTATGAATTTATTAAAAATAGACATATTAAGTGTGGTAATATAAAAACAAATACTTCGAAAAATAAAATTTTGATTCTAAAATCATATATGCCTTTGGCACATTTGTGAACTTTATATTTGAATTGTCATTGTTATTTTATTTAACTTCTACGTTAAAATCTAAAGTCTAAATCCAAAACAACGGAAACTAAAATGATTTTTGTCGATATTATTCGCACAGATACATTCTGGAAGTAAATAGCGGATTTCTTTCTAATGTTATTTTTATTTTGAGAGATAACAATCTTTGGATAAAAATTCTCGAGTCTTCAACAATGTTTTTAGTTAAAGCAAAGTTTTTGATTGTAAAGTATGTATCTCGCGAAAAAGATGATATTGTATGATGAAACTTGGTCGGATAATCGATTTATTTATATGATAATTTCGCAAACGTAATTCTTAACATTGGTACCTTTGATTACTATTTATTGATATCTATAGTTAATTTACAATCCAATAAACTATTTTTAAGGGAAAGTTATTGTTTACAATTTCAGAGGAGGAATTACATTTATTTTTAAACAAACATGTTATATTGGATTCCATAAATATATTACTTGATAAATTATCCATAGTAGTTAATGTTTAACATATTTAATTGCGATATTCATTGAGGAACCAGAAAAATTCTTATATTACTTACACTTACAGAACATTGTTAGCTATATATACAGAAATTTTCTTTAATGAAATTAAATTAATTGAAATACTAATACGAGCAATAATTTGAATAGACTTATTATTTTATGATTTATATTTTTAATATTTTTTTCCTTGAAAGAATAAAATGGATTGGTTATTGACATGTTTATACTGTATTCTTTATTTTGGTATTGTTAGTATTAAAGAGATAACTATAAGAATTTACATATATTTATGTAAGTTATTTAAGATTCTAATCGAGA